GCCACAACGAGGACTAGCTTGCCGACAAGCAAGTGAACCTCGTTAAAAAATCATTGTGTTCATCATTGATTCCGAGGTGATTGGTCTTCATTATTATTCATCCTTGTGATTGATTGGTTCCTTCATCTACATGGCGGTATAACTTTCTTGATCACTCTCTTTACATTACCGCAAACTAGTTGTCAAGCTCTTTAGTGTAGCTAGTTGTGAGAGTTTGCTTGCTTGGTTGGTGTGGCTCTTTAGTTAGCCTTTGAGAGCACACTAACATAGGGCAGTGTCATAGCTATTGTGTGAATAGATACTATATATACTAGAATTGTGGTAGGTGGCTTGCATTTTTAGTAGGCTAGCGCAACACTTGATTCGCCTCATAATTGTCTAATTGATTTGTTAAGTGTTGTTGTAGAAATTTTTATTAGGATATTCATCCCCCCTCTAGCCATTAGGACCTTTTAGGGGCCTGCCTCACCCGACCTCAGGGTCGGGGGATCCGCCTCTCCCGACCTCTGGGTCGGGGGCTCCGCCTCGCCTGACCTCTAGGTTAGGGGCCTGGCCTCGCCCGACCTCTAGGTCTAGGGCTCTGCCTCGCTCGGCCTCTGGGTGGGGGCCCCCACCTCGCCTGACCTCTGGGTCGGGGGCTTCGTCTCACCCGATGCCTCAGGCACGGCCCTAACAAAAGCCCATACCGTCGCCAACCACTATGGGCCAGAAAGTACAACCCAAGGTCAAACTTCTAGCATCGTGCAGGGAGCGGGCACATCTCAACATGACCCATGCCCACGACATGTCACTCCAGGGAACCCACATCACCAATAGTGATGGACGCGTGGTCACTATGCTGCCTACTCCCTGTACGGCCGCCGACCAGCACGTTGGTTCGCCGCGTAGTCTGTCGGGACGGAATGGGATGTCACGACCCGCTGACAACACAGGGGCGTGGCATTCGCGACAAACAGGTGCCCGGCGTGGAGCCGTCCTGTCACCATCTGCAGTGTCAGTGGGACCCGCATAAAGGAAGAGAAAGGCTCTGCGGTCCAAGAAGCCTTCCTCTCCTTGGATCTTCTTCCTCTTTTCTCTCTGTGTAACCTACTCTTCCCCTTCGTCTATAAAAGGTGAAGCAGGACGCCCCAGGAGTGGGGACGGCGGTTCACCACTCTACATGGCTGTAGACATCAAAACACACGCCCTAACACGCCTTAGGAACAAACGCACATAAGAGACTTGGGACCTGTCCCTGACTCGCTCGTTTATAACCCCTACTACAAACTTTCAGTGCTAGTAACACGAGCAACTGCGACGAACTGGACGTAGGAACTTTCTGCCTGAACCAGTATAAACCTCGTGTCCTCTAAGCACACCATCCAAGCCAGATACGCAATACTAGAAATTTACTATTTGGTAACTCAAAACACCGACACCTCCCTTGTTGGAGGTTTTGTCGTGAGGGCACTTCCCCTATTTTGGGTAGTTTCAATTGAAAAAAAACTTGTGCTAGAAACTTGCACGGGTGACATTCGTGGATGTCGTTTTCCTCATTGAAGGCATCGTTGTGGATACCCTCCTTCAACACCGCCTCTCTCTCGTGCTTGGTGCTACAGTGTGTGGGGTGACGTTATTGTCAGGGCTTTGGTGGATATGCTGGTAGTGTGTTGCTGTGTTGTCGCTTCTTTCGTATGAGTGGTTTATTTTTTAATTAATTTGTTGTATATTGTTGTTGTAAGACACTTCTTCTATACTAATTACATGCCTGATAAATTTCTTATCGGTTACTTTTTGAATAAAAAATATATTGCTACCCTTTGTTCTTGTTAGAACTTTTAACATGTATTATTCCATGGTGCTAGCTCTATCCCTGGGGTCCATCCACTACTACATAATGCTTAATGGAGGCAGGGCATTGCAACCGCCTCCAATCAAAAGTCACCGTTAATGGAGACGTACGGAGGTGGTTGCTTTGTTGGCCTCGGTTAATGTCTATTAACGGAGGCGGTTGCCCTAAAGCGTCCGCAAAAATAAAAGAAGAAAAATCCATCAACGAGCCCAACGAGCCCATCCATGAGTTCCGCCGAGCCCATCTACGCACTGCCGCTGAGGAGAAGTGTCGGTGTTTTGAGTTACCAACTAGTAAATTTCTAGTATTGTCCGTCTGACTCGGATGGTGTGCTTAGATGATACGAGGTTTATACTGCTTCGGGCAGAAGGTCCCTACATCTAGTTCGTCGCTGCTGCTCGTGTTACTAGCACTAAAAGTTTGTAGTAGGGGTTACAAACGAGCGAGAGAGGGACATGTCTCAAGTCTCTAATGTGCGTGTGCTCCTAAGACGTGTTAGGGCATGTGTTTTGATGTCTACAGCCGTGTAGAGTAGTGAACCGCCCCCTTTCGGGGACGTCATGCTTCCCCTTTTATAGATGAAGGGGAAGAGTAGGTTATAGAGAGAAAAGAGGAAGAAGAGCTAAGGAGAGGAAGGCTTTCAGGACCGTCGGGCCTTTCTCTGCCTTTATGCGGGTCCCACCGACACTTCAGATGGTGATAGGACTGCTCCACGTCGGGTGCCTGTTCGCCATTGATGCCATGCCCCCGCATTGTCAGCGGGTCATGACGTCCCATTCCGTCCTGGTGGGCGACGTGACGAACCAGCGTGCTGGTCATCGGCCGTACAAGGAGTAGGCAGCATAGTGACCACGCGTCCATCACTGTTGGTGATATGAGTTCCCTGGAGTGACATGTCGCGGGCACGGGTCATGCTGAGATATGTCCGCTCCCTGCACGATGTTAGAAGTTTGACCTTGGATTATACTTTCTAGCACGTAGTGGTTGGCGGCAGTACGATCTTCTGTCAGAGCCACGCCTGAGGGGTTGGGTGAGACGAAGCCCCCGACCCAGAGGTCGGGCGAGGCAGAGCCTGCTCCCCAGAGGTCGGGCAAGGCGGAGCCCGTGCACCTGGGGGTCGGTTGAGGCGGGGCCTCCGACCCAGAGGTCGGGCGAGGCGGAGCTCGCTCTCCTAGGGGTCGGTTGGAGCTGTAGTCGCGTTCTTGACTACTCGGATGAATCAATGTTGATGACCATTAGCTCCTTCTCTTCGGGTACCCTAGTATTGGTCCCCGACAAGAAGCGTCGATGGGGCCGCGCCCTTGCGAGCCGTCGTCGGGGCCGGAACCCGCTCTCGCCATCTTCTTGGATCCGCGCCAACCGGAGGTGTAGGGCACCGTCGGAGGTTGAGGTTGAGGGGTCGACCGGAGGGAGCGAGGTGCAGGTGGAGGGCCGCCGGAGAGAGCGATGTGCAGGTGGAGGTGGAGGTGGAGGTGGAGGTGGAGGGGGCGGGGCGGAGGTGTAGGTGAAGGTGGAAGGCGTTGCCGGAGGTGAAAATGGAGGGCCAGCCGGAAGAAGCGCGGTGGATGGGTCAACGATGAGGGAGAAGGAGCCGCTCGGGCATGAGACACGAGAGTGAGGAGCGCGAGAATGGTAGAGAGAGTGAGATATTTCTCCAGTTGGGTGGATAGGAACGGACAGAGAGAGGGAGCACTGACGTCACGTGAGGCCCGCTTGTCATACTCAGTGAAGAAGCACAAACACATTGACGGTGGAGATGACTCCACGTGGCCACTGATCGAACCGTGCATACATCCAGACGAACGATCCGTGCGCGCCCAGAAGCAGAACGGATGGCGTGGCTCCCATGGTGCACTTGGTGTGGCTATGATCCGTGTGGCCCGGTGTGTGGCAACAAGAGGTGCGGCTGCTGATCTCTTGCCATGTGTTGGTGGTTTCGTGAAACAAGGGGCGCAACCGACGGTTTTCTCAAACCGCGCATGGGAAACGGGGGGCGCGCGGGCGTTGGGCTCTAGGCGCGTGGTAGAAGAGGCAGGGACAGGTGGGGCCGGGATCGGGCGTTGGGCTGGTTTGGATTTTGAGGCGGGCACCTTATAAATGTCCGCCTCTGTAAATGGATTTACGGAGACGAACGCCTTAAGACTCCAACCGCCTCTGTAAATAAAACGTCCGCCTTCGAAAATTGATTTTGCGAGGCGATCATTTTTTCGTGCGTCGGTAAATAAAACGATCGCCTCCGTTAATCACTAGGTATTAACTGAGGCGGTTGGATTTTATAAACGCCTTGGTTTAGCTCGAGTGAGGCCACTTTCAATGGATAGTTTCACGGCGTTGTTTCCAAGATTGCCGTGTCACGTATAATGAAATAAAACTTGGGATGAAATACCCACTCTCAATGCAAAGTTTATTTTATAATTTCATAAGAATTTAATTACATGACTCATAAAGAGTTGATAATCGTGTCAAAAAGAATTTTATTATTTTCTTCTCTTTTAAAATACACTATCATATCATTAAAATTACTACGTAGCAACATATTTAATGAAAATGAAAGTAGGATGAACTCGCAGTGGGACTGGCCTTTGTGAGTTTAGGGAGGACGCAGGAACCACCATCACGCATCACGCCTTTCTTCGTCTTCCTTGGGTCGGTGGAGTCGCCTCCTCCCTCCTCCTCCTCCTCCTCCCCGCAAAACCCCTCGCCACGAGACGAGGCGGCCAGGGAGGGTGAAAATAGAATAGAATAGGGTTAATAGGGTTTCGGCATGGCCGCCTCCTGCCGACCTTCCTCCTCCAGCGCCGTGCAATCTCCCGCCCCTGCCAAGCGCTAGCTAGGGTAGCTGGCTGAGCGGATTTCAGGACCAACAAATCTCTTATTCTTCCCCCATTGCCGCCCGAGCGTGGTTGGTAAGTAATCCAGGCTTCTCATTCGTTTTTCTCCGCTCCCCTGCTCTTCCTAAGACTGCCACGCAAACTCCTATCTGACGACTGGTCGCGCGTTCGCAGAGTCAGGGACCTGGGGTTGTTGGGGTTCGGGCTCACCGGCGATTTGGGGCGACGAGGTCGCTGCCGGTGCCTTGGGCGGGGGCCTGATTCGCACCTCGGAGGATTCCTTCTCTGAACAAACGGCGGAATTGTCCCAGGTGTTGATGTGCTGCTGCTACTGATCCATGGCCAATACCCGCTCAAGAGGAGGAGGAGATGGCCCTCCTCCTCCTTCTGCTCCAGCTGCTGCTTCTGCAACCACCACAAGAAAGCTTGCCAATGGAAGGGAGACCAGGAGCACCGCAGCCGCAGCTGCCGGTGCTCAGACACCAAACCTCAGGAGGTCCACTCGAGAAAACAAAGGAAAGCACAAATCTAGACAACTTCCTGCCACGCTGTCTTCACACAAATCTGCTAAAACGCCCGCCAAGGATGCCACTGCAATTGCCACCCCCAAATCCACATCCTCGCCAAACAACCCAAAAGACTCGACAAAAAAGCCCACCAGAGTTAGCAGGAACACAATTGTTTCACCTTCTCCTTCAAAACAAGATTCTAATGGAACCTCAACGCCCGCCTCCACCAAAAGAAAAACCCAAGATGATGCTCAGGTTGCCTCTACGCCGTCCAAGAAGCAGAAAAGGCTCATGCACGCAAAGAGCTACGTTGCGCTCTTCAATACAGCATTAGAAGAACCTGAGTCGCAAGGTACAGGATGTCATGCCATTTGATTCAATTAATGGCCTTTTGGCCGATGAGGTTTTTCTGGTTTCGCTATACCAGCTCACTTAGTTTCTTTGTCGCAAACATTTCACCTGTCAGATTGCTTCAAAATGCTCAACATTAAGCTGCATCGTTTTAGTCTTCTTTGTTGTTGAGTGCAATGTCTTGAAGCATCTTTGTGTGCTGAGCCTTCTAAAACCAACTGATATCATAGTACTCCATGCATATCACTCTTGCTTAATCACCCTTCCATTGTCGTTCTGAGAGGTCTCATAGCTTCTTAGCAATCAAATTTTGGCATAGCAATTTCAGGATAATGATTTCTATCACCTCTGTCTCCCTGGATGCTGATGCTTAGTTTTCATCCAAATACTAAAGGCTGTTATCTGTAAATTTTGTGATGCAGTGCTTGCTCCCCTCAGGGAGGATGAGGAAAAAGCTTCTGAGGTGCAACCGGAAGGAGATGGTACTGTTTTGGCGCATGAAGAAAGCAATGCACCGGAACAACCTAATCAGGAACCTTCAAATGTGTCTGCTAGCGAGGTTTTGGGAGGTCACTCTTCTGACTTGCATGAAACTGAGGTGATATTGGAGGGAGATGGATTGAAGATTGGATCCCATCAGTCTGATGTTGTTTTAGAGGTTGGGGCTGCCATCCCTTTTTTCTAAAATCTGAAATTTAAATAAGTCGGCTTTGTATTTTTCATCAGCAGCATAAATTTATAGAAGTCTTGGTTCTTTTCTGTTATTATCTGCTAATACATATTGGAGACTTAAAGCAATGTTGCAATTTTTTGTACAGTCTTGCATTCTTACTGAGACGTGCTCACTAAATAAGGCAGTGGAAAGCATCCCCATGTTGGAAACTGGAGAGCAAGCTACTGGTCATTCAAAGTATACTAAATTAAACTTTGCGTATTATTTATGCCATTAGCTATATAGATTCTGTTTGATGTTGCTAAGCATGGAGTCGGTATATCAGCTGATTCTTAACCACCTTCTGTATTGCAGCCAGAACTCTCTACTAGAATTGCAAAATAGCGCTTGCTCTACTGCTCACCATGAAGAGGTATTAATCAAATGAGGCTTCCATGATTTGTCATGCAGCATGTGTGTTTTCATTTCATGTTTTATTTAGTGGGATATAAGTAACCATGTGCTTGCAGTTAATGTTCCTTTTATCCTCCTCTAGGCCAACAAGTCAGTGGAAGATGGTGATTCTATTGGGATTCAAGGTGCATGCACTTCAAGGAATATTGAAGCTATCCAATGTGATGAAACAGGTTACAATGACAACATTTGTGTTGGTTGCAGAAGTAGGGAAATCTCAGATATTCTGAAGTAAGTTACTCTGCAGTCTAATTAAGTTCTCTCTTTTTGCTTCATGTTCTTTTCTTATACTGAAATTAGGGAAATATGGACCTATAGAATCGAGAAATGGAAGATGATCATGCTAAAACTAAGTAGCTTCTGTGATAGATCCCCCCCCCCCCCACCACACACACACACAAAATAAAATAAAATAAATAAATCCAGATGACTGAATCAAAGCTGCAATCTTGTTCATTCCTTACGCAGGCAAATGGTACTCCACATCGTTTCAGTTATCTGGGTTTCACTAGCACTATCTGGTTATTTTACTCCCGTTATTGGTTGGCATTATAAGCGATAAAACAAGCTCTAGTTAATATTGCCCATGTCCAGCATATTTATCTGTTTATTCCAGATGTCATGCCTTTTATAATCAACAATAACAACATAGCCTTTCAGTCCCAAGCAAGTTGGGGTAGGCTAGAGTTAAAACCCACCAAGAGCCCCAAGTCACGGTTCAGGCACTTCAATAGCTGCTTTCCAAGTACTCCTATTCAAACATAGATCTCTAGGTATATCCCAAGCTTTCAAATATCTTTTTATTGCCTCCCCCCATGTCAATTTCGGTCTTCCTCTACCTCCTCATATTATTAGCTTGACTTAGGACTCCACAATGCACTGGTGCCTCTAGAGGTCTCCTTTGGACATGGTCAAACCACCTCAACCGATGTTGGACAAGCTTTTCTTCAATTGGTGCTACCTCTAGGCGATCACGTATATTATCGTTCCGAACTCGGTCCATTCTTGTGTGACCGCAAATCCATCGCAACATACATATTTCTGCAACACTTAGTTGTTGAACATGTCGAATCTTTGTAGGTCAACATTCTGCTCCATACAACATAGCCGGTTTAATCGCCGTTCTATAGAACTTGCCTTTTAGCTTTTGTGGTATCCTCTTGTCACAGAGAATGCCAGAAGCTTGTCGCCACTTGATCCACCCTGCTTTGATTCTATGGCTAACGTCCGCATCAATATCTCCATCCCTCTGTAGCATCGATCCCTCAAAACTCCTACTCCATTTTTATTTGAAGTTGTCCCTGTGTACCAGAGCTTGAAGCCGGTATTGTCCACCTGCTTCGCCTTCTGCCCCTTCCATTTAGTCTCTTGGACGCATAAGATATTTACACGCCTCCTAACCGCTGTGTCCACTAACTCTCTTAACTTACCAGTAAGGGACCCTACATTCCAGTTACCTAAACGGATCCTAGTTGGCTCTACTAGCTTCCTTACCCTTCGCACCTGCCGAGGTAGGTGTGAAGACCCTTGCTCATTTTGCACCACACCTGGGCGCCGATGTGGCACGCCACTAAGGATGCGACGACCCGATCCTTGCTCACTTGACACCGTGTCTAGATCGCGACACGGCGCGTCACGGGGGTGACGACCCGGCCCTTGCTCATTTAACACCATACCCGGGTTCCGATATGGCGCGTCGCTAAGAGGGTTACGCCCCAACGGGATTCTTTTGGGTTTCATCTCCATTAAAGTGGCTAAGTTTTTACATTGGCTCACCGCGCCTAACACAACCCTCCGCCTTTACCAGGGCTTGGGACCTGCTATGCTGGGACACCAAAGGCGCCCCACCATAGGCAGAGTTTCATGCCTTTTATAATATACTGTTGAAAATACTGTGCATATAAAATCATAAGTATTAAACGTTTGATCACTAGATTAAAAACTATATAAGAATAAGTGTTATTTGGGATGTTTATATGGTCTTCAAAGTATGACTTCGAGGACAAATCTTTTGTTGTATATTTTTAGTCATGATGCAATTTGTGTTATGGATGTATTTTTTTGAAACAGATTTGTTCCTTTTCATATGATAGATTCAAAATGATAAAGACGCCGTTAGTCAAACTTAAAATGGTTTGATGGCATCTTGCAATGGTACTTATTTTTGACTGGATGGAATGAAGTTGTAGGTTATTACTGTCCTCGATCCTGGAAGACTACGAAGTTAGTTTTAGAGATATTGTAGGCTAAAGCTTGAGTTTGTGATTATTATAATAGTGAGATTTACGATAATAGTCCTGTATGGTAAAGCTTTGTGAACCTCTTACAATATATGTGAAAAAAAACTTATAATATAGGAAAAAGTAAATGTAGGCAAACCCTAATCCAGAAACAAGTACAAAAGAATGCAATAAAGCTTTCATAAAATTGCATACTTCTTGCTACGACAAGTTTAGAATAAGTGCCTTCTTTTCAAACGAGTGATATGATTAATTGGTGAACACTGTTTCAAGGTTATTGAGTAGTTTTTAGGTGACTGAAAGATGCGATATCAGGTGAAAGATAAACATGTGTTCTTTTATCTCCCAACTCAGTTGTGTTTCTAGAACGTGACACCTTATAGTCCTTGCGGTTGATGTGACAGCTATAAGTCTTGTCCTTGTCTACTTAGGATACTTATCTAGAGTAGTTGGTGGCTGTGTCAGCCTTTATCTTTATCCCTAGCATCTACTTTAGCATCTCTAGAATATGCTGTAGCTTTCTTAAGGCTCAAGCAAGCTATCCTATATGTATCCCCAACCTGCCATAGTTGTGGCATGGCTAATGAAATATGAAATTCAGCCCCAAACCTGTGTTTTGGTTCTAACAAATGGTATCTAGAGCCTAAGTTCATCTGGGTTTTACCCTTACCGCATCCCAATCCGTCGCCATGTCTTTGCACTCATCCTCTTCCTCCAACTGTTCCACCACCTCCAAAGATCGTCTTTGCAGCAGCAGCTACTGTGCCAGTAGCGAGGAGGCGACGGGCGGCGAGCGTGCTGTGCTGCAGAATGAGCGGCGCGGCTCGCATCGCCAGCGGAGCTTCTTTGCAGCGCGTCTTGGTAAAGCCGCCACCAGCAGGCGGCGGAGGCGCGGGAGGTTGGGCAACAACGGCCGTGCTCGTCGTGTGAGGCGAGGCTTGGCAGCAGAGGACTTCTGGCGCCGGGCGCGCGTCGGATCTGAGAGCGGCGGCTTCGGCTCAAGGCCATGGAAGCGACGCGCCCAGCGGCTGGCCGACGCAGGCGGCTTTGGCGAGCCTTGATGGGCGTGGTGGCGACCGCGATAAGCCCGACAACGGACGCGACGACGGGCGGCAAGCCGACGGACGACGCTGCGACTTCGACCGGGGCGGCGAAGCGGCAAAGACGCGACGCCAACGCTTTGGCTGGAGCGGGAGGAGGCGGCGCGAGGCGTGGGACTGGCGAGACGGGACGCTGGCACGCGGAGCCCTCTCACAGCGGCAAGCGCCCTCCCCTCCTCGACTGGGCGCCGTGGTCGCGTGGTGCCCGGGCTCCCCGTCGTCGTCGCGAGACCGTCGTCAAGGACGCCGGCGGCGGATGGCCCATGCTCACCAAGACCAACTACGCCGAGTGGTCCATGGTGATGAAGGTGAAGATGAAGGCGCGGCGCATGTGGGATGCGGTACGGTACGGTACGGCGACGCCGACGTCGACGAGGATCGGCGGGCACTGGAGGCGCTTCTTGCTACTGTTCCGACGGAGATGCACTCCTCCCTCGTGAACAAGCGGACCGCCAAGGACGCCTGGGACGCCATCGCCATGCTGCGCACGACGGCAGTGGCGCCAGCGTCCGCAGTCCACGCCAAGCTTGCGTCGAGTGGGAGAACACGGCTTTCAAGCCGGGTGAGGGCGTCGACGACTTCGCGCTCTGCCTCAACACACGACGATCACATTTGTTGGCCTTGATCTGGCGACAACGACATCGATGAGGAGAGAGCTGTCAAGAAGTTCCTCCGTGTCGTCCCCAAGATGTACTCGTAGGTCGCCATCGTGATCGAGATGTTGCTGGACTTCTCCGAGCTGTCGATCGAGGAGGTGACGGGTCGCCTCAAGGCCGTCTACAACCGCGAGCAGCTACCTCCCTCAGAGCTGGTCACCATCGGTGGCAAGCTTCTCTTCACCGAGGAGCAGTGGCTCGCCCGCCAGCGGGAGCGGAAGAAGGGGGAGGCCTCGGGTTCTTCGGCTTTGGGTTCGTCGAGCAGCCGCAAGCGTCGGCCGCGCAAGCGGGATAAGGCGCGTGGTGGCGCTCCTGGCGGCGCCAACGGCGAGCGCAAGGCTACCCGCGACGACACATGCAACAATTGCGGGAGGACCGGCCACTGGGCCAAGGACTCTCGGCAGGCGAAGCGCGGCGGTCAGGCACACGTCGCGCAAGCGCAGGAGGTTGACGAGCCGGCTCTGTTCTTCGTACACGGGAGCATCGAGCCGCACTCCTCTCCCGCGCTGGCTGCCGCCGCGCTCCTCCACCTCGACGAGCCGCGGGCTCACGTCTTCCTCGGCAACGGGTCCGGCGACGACAAGATCGACGGGTGGTACCTCGACACCGGCGCCACCCACCACATGACCGGGCGGCGGGAGTTCTTCTCCGAGCTCGACTCCGGCGTTCGAGGCTCCGTCAAATTCGGGGACGCCTCCGCCGTGGAGATCAACGGCGTCGGCTCCGTCATCTTCATCGCCAAGATCGGCGAGCACCGACTGCTCACTGGTGTCTACTACATCCCCGCGCTGAGGAACTCCATCATCAGCCTGGGACAGCTGGATGAGAACGGCTCATGCATGGAGATCGAGCACGGGGTCTTGCGTATTTGGGATCGCCATCGTCGCCTTCTCGTCAAGGTGAACAGAGGCCCCAACCGCCTTCACGTCCTCCACGTGCAGGTGGCGCAGCCCGTGTGTCTTGCAGCCCGCCGCGACGACGACTCCTGGCGGTGGCACGAGCGCTTTGGGCACCTCAACTTCGAGGCCCTGAAGCAGCTCGGCAACAAGGAGATGGTGCAGGGCATGCCGCGAGTCGAGCACGTGGTGCAGTTTTGCGACACCTGCGTCCTCACCAAGCAGCGGCGGCTCCCCTCTCCCCGCCAGGCGAGCTTCCGCGCCAAGGGGAAGCTAGAGCTCGTGCACGGTGACCTCTGCGGCCCCGTGACACCGGCCACACCTGGAGGCCGGCGCTTCTTCCTGCTCCTCGTCGACGACGTGTCCCGCTACATATGGGTGGTCCTGCTCGACACCAAGGCGGTGGCTGCGGACGCCATCAAGCTGCTGCGGAGGAGTGCGGCCGCAAGCTTCGGGTGCTACGCACCGACAACGGCGGCGAATTCACGGCGTACTGCGCCGACGAGGGGATCTAACGCCACTTCTCCGCGCCGTACACCCCGCAGCAGAACGGCGTCGTTGAGCGCCGCAACCAGACGGTGGTGGCCACCGTTCGCGCCCTCCTCAAGCAGAGAGGGATGCCGGCCATGTACTGGGGGGAGGCGGTGATGACTGCCGTCCATCTCCTCAACCGCTCGCCCACCAAGGCCCTTGACGGCAAGACGCCGTACGAGACCTGGCATGGGCGCAAGCCCGTGGTGAGCCACCTCCGCGTCTTCGTCTGTCTCGCCTTCGCCAAGGAGCTCAACCACGTGGAGGGCATCAAGGCCTACCGCATCCTCGACCCTACAACACAGCGCGTCCACATCTCCCGGGACGTCGTGTTCGACGAAGGGCGAGGCTGGGCCTGGGACAAGGCCGTGGACGACGGCCCGACTTCGACTCTCAGAGACTTCGTTGTCGACTACGTCCACTTCGAGGGAGCCGGGGGAGCTAGCACCTCATCTTCACTGAGCTCGTCTACCTCAGCACCCGACTCGCCATCAGCTCCGGCGAGTACTCCACTGCCTACACCACCAGCAAGTCCACCACCTGTACCACCGGCTACGCCCCGCTCTCCTACACCGGCTCCCCAATCTCCTGCATCGGCGCCCACACCTCCGAGATCGGCACCAGCAGCATTGGTCCGTGACGAGCAGCGCACGGTGGAGTTCGGCACTCCGCTGTCCGACGACGAGGATCATGTCGATGCCTACCACGACGACGAGCCTCTGCGCTACCGCACCTTGGACAACTTCTTCGGTGATCAGCCCGTTCCTGGACTGGCGGTGCATGACTTCGAGGCGGAGCTGCACAGCGCGACGAGGGACGGCGAGCCCGCTCCTTCGCCGAGGCGGAGGAGACGCCTTGACATGGCGCGCCGCGATGCATGCGGCGAGGAGATGGGCGCGGTCGAGTGGAACCGGACGTGGAGGCTGGCGGATCTTCTCCCGCGCCCGCTGCGCCATCACCCTTAAGTGGGTCTACAAGCTCAAGAAGGATGAGGTCAAGGCGGTGATCAAGCACAAAGCGCGTCTGGTGGCGCGTTGAGTTAAATCGGCGAGGGGAGTCGACTTTTGGCGACTTGGCGCCCGTGCGTGGATGGAGTCCGTCCGTCTCTTCCTCGCACTGGCGGCCCAAGAGGGTTGGCGTGTGCACCACATGGACATCAAGTCCGCCTTCCTCAACGGCGACCTGAAGGAGGAGGTCTACATCCATCAGCCGCCGGGATTCGTCATCCCCAATAAGGAGGACAAGGTTCTTCGCCTACGCAAGGCCCTCTACGGCTTGCGGCAAGCACCTCGAGCTTGAAACGCCAAGCTGGACTCCACTCTCAAGCAAATGGGGTTCCAGCAAAGTTCTCACGAGGCTGCAGTCTACCGGCGGGGCAAGGGAGGCAATGCCCTGTTGGTAGGCGTCTACGTCGACGATTTGGTGATCACCGGCACCAAGGAGGCCAAGGTGGAGTCATTCGAGGAGGAGATGAAGGCGACCTTCCAGATGAACGACTTGGGCCTTCTCTCCTTCTACTTGGGGATCGAGGTCCACCAGGACAACTCCGTCATCTCCCTTCGCCAGACCGTCTACGCCAAGTGCATCGTCGAGTTGTGCGGGCTCACTGGCTGCAACCCAGCACACACTCCCATGGAGGAGAATTTGGTCGCGTGTGACAAAGACGGCGAAGGAGGTCGACGCCACGCTGGCATCGGCGGCGCATTGTGGGCGCCTTAGCTACCTCGTCACACGGCGGCCGGACACGGCGTCATTTTGTTAGCTCGTCGGTCGGTTCATGCAGCGACCGACGACGGAGCACGAGCAGGCCGTCAAGAGGATCCTCCGCTACGTCGCGGGCACTTCCAACTACGGCTTGCACTACCCGAGGTGTCTCGGTGCGGAGCACTTCATCGGGTACAACGACCTCGCCGGCGACATCGACACAAGCAAGAGCACCAGCGGGACGCTATTCTTCCTCGGCAAGTGTCTAATCAGCTGGCAGTCGGTCAAGCAGCAAGTGGTGGCTCTGTCCAGTTGCGAGGTGGAGTACATCGCTGCCACAACCGCTTCGACTCAAGCTTTCTGGTTGGCTCGGCTGCTAGGCAATCTCCTGGGCCGGGACGCAGAAGCAGTGGAGCTCAGGGTAGACAGCAAGTCCGCCTTGGCTTTGGCGAAGAACCCCGTCTTCCATGAGCGCAACAAGCATATCCGCATCAAGTATCACTTCATCAGGAGCTGTTTGGATGAGGGGAGCATCAAGGCCGGCTACATCAACACCCAGGATCAGCTCGCCGATCTTCTCACCAAGTCCCTTGGGCGGGTCAAGTTCCAGGAGCTTCGCTCCAGGATTGAGATGGTTCAAATTCCCTAGAAGGCGCCACACAAGACTTAGGGGGAGAATGATAGCTATAAGTCTTGTCCTTATCTACTTAGGATACTTATCTAGAGTAGTTGGTGGCTGTGTCAGCCCTTATCTTTATCTTTAGCATCTACTTTAGCATCTCTAGAATATGCTGTAGCTTTCTTAAGGCTCAAGCAAGCTATCCTATATGTATCCCCAACCTGCCATAGTTGTGGCATGGCTAATGAAATTTGAAATTTAGCCCCAAACCTGTGTTTTGGTTCTAACATGATGCATCTTTCAAACATATGTTTTGTGGAACAGTTCATCTCTAATACCATGCTGTATGTAAATATGAAAATTGTGTTCCATGGCTCATACTTGATTTGCAGAGATCTTAATAAAACTAAACCCCTTCTTAATATAATGTTATGCAGAGAAAATAAATGATATGCAGCTCTCCTGCGTGTTCGAGAAGAAAAAAAACTAAACCCATTTTTTATTTGGTATTAGGTCTTGTGGTGGAAAAGGATGTAAACGACATTACCACCTCTCGTGTATGGATCCTCCCTTGGACGTGTCCCTAGGAATATGGCTTTGCATAATGTGTATAAAAAAGAGGCTTCAGTTCGGTGTATATTCAGTCAGCGAGGGAATTGAATCTTTATGGGATGTCAAGGAAGGTAATTATATCACATAAAACGTATGATGACAGTTTGTCTTCGATTGTTGTCATTCATTTATTAATTCTATCGCTTCTCCATTTTAGGAGCAGAGAACAGCAAGCAATATTTCGTTAAGTATAAAAATCTTGCTCATGTACATAATCAGTGGGTTTCAGAAAGTGATATAGTTGATAGCACCCCGCAAGGTTCTGATCTTATCTCCAAATTTAGCAAGAGGATTCATAAAGAAAAGGTGCTTGCTCGTGTGATGAATCCCACTGCTTATCTTTTTTTAGAGGATGTTAGGCTCTGCAAAAGTATGCATGCTGATGGATTCCTTTCTGATTTTGATTTCTTAGACAATAAGGTGGAAGCAGGAATGGGCTGAACCACACCGTCTGTTGAAGAGAAGATTACTTATGCCTCCAATAGAAGCTGAAGTTTTTTTTAATTCACTAGGTGATAAATTTGTATACTGTAATGTCGAATGGCTAGTGAAATGGAAGGATCTGGGGTATGAACATGCTACATGGGAACTTGAGTCTTCATCCTTTTTATGTACTCCTGAGGCTGAGGAGCTCAAAAGGAGCTATGAGGACCGCTTTAAAGCTGCAAGAAAAGCATCTGATCCTTCAAAAGTAGACAAGGTATGCCATAGAAAACATTTATTTTTATTAACTGGCACGCTGCAACTTCATTTGACAAGAAAGTGATAATAATCTATACATTTTCATCATTTGTGTTATATGCTCATCCCTTTGCTAGTCCACCACAATCAATGAGCTTTATTAGTTCCAAGCAAGTTTGTTCTTTCTGCAGTTGTCTGGTCACATTGCTTTGTTAGGCTACCTCACGCAAATAATGAGCTCTATTAGTTCCAAGCAAGTTTTTTCTTTCTGCTGTCTGGACATTAGACCATTTGAAGCATGTGTTCAGAATGACCCCATGGGATTTCCTCTGGATCTCTGTTACATTCTTATATTCCAAACAGGCCCTAGATTGCTTGAAGATTTCACAATTTTCAGTAATGGTAAACTATCTATGTGCTATACAGGTTAAAGGGGGCATATTTCAGCAACTCCAGAGATTGCCAGATGGTTGCCCTCCTGGTTTAGATGATGATCATTTGAGATCGCTTAACCAGCTTCGTGAGTTCTGGCACAATTCTCGTGGTGCTGTTTTCATCGACGATCAGGTAGAATAGAACTATCTAAATATTTTAGCCACCATGCATGAAAAAGGTATATTGATGTGTTTATTGGCACCTTCCACTTAAGTTCTTGAACTCTCTAGATTTGGTTGTGCTTTCATTTTTTGCTTGTTTTTTTATTAGTTGAGGTTTATAGTTGATGGCATGACAACTCTGCTGGCGGAAGCTTCGATTATTACATTGGTGTATTTTACACATATCACGGTTTAACTAATTAACTTATCTATTGCACAGGAGCGAGTAATTAAGACCATTCTTTTTGTGGCATCCATACTGCCTCACATCTGTCGACCACTTCTCATTGTCTCTACTACTACTTCTCTCTCCTTGTGGGAGACTAAGTTCAATCGCTTGGCAGCATCCATCAATGTTGTTGTGTACAATGGGGAGAAAGATGTACGCAAATCTATTCAAGATCTGGAGTTTTATGAGGATGGTTCTGTCATGTTGCAAGTTCTCTTGTCCCACCCTGATGCCATCTTAGAGGTAATATTATTCTGTTAGACTCAACTTGTCTAGTTTATGCATTAAAAGAGCACCATTGCCTTCTTCAGATGCATTTTGCATTAATGTTATGAAACCATGAAGTTTACTTCTCAAGTTATATGTACCCTTTTGTTTCCTGTTTCTTTCCATCATTATACAGGACATCGAAGCCATTGAACGAATTAACTGGGAAGCAGTTATAGTCGATGATTGCCAAAACTCTAGAGTTTCAAAATGCCTTGAACAACTTAAGCGACTTCCTACCAATTTTAGGATGGTTCTATTGAGTTCCTCACTAAAGGTGCTGCCACCAACCTTGTATAGAATTCTTTTTGTACCACAAGTGGGTCATATTTTCTTATTTTATCTTGCAGGAAAGTATTGCTGAGCACATCAATCTGCTGTCTTTCCTCAACCCTGAAGAAAATGGTACATTGAGTGTTTCAAATGGTGTTTCTTTTGATACAGCTGGCACCCTAGCCGTTCTGAAAGCAAAACTTGCACGTTATGTTGCCTTTGAGCGGAAGGCAGATTCTTCAAAGCTTTTAGAGTATTGGGTTCCTGCCCGCCTTTCACCAGTGCAACTAGAGATGTACTGTTACATATTACTATCGAACTCCCCAGCCCTTAGATCACATTCTAAAACAGATAGTGTTGGTGCTCTTCGCAACATTCTTATATCCCTTCGGAAGGTTTGCTTTTAAAACTTCTTTGCATGCAATGACTTGTTTTAAAGTAGCAATTTAGCTGGATGAGATGGAACCTGCATGTACAATTACTTATCATGCATGTCTGCAGACAATTCTATTGATCTTCAGTTAATCCTTATGCAACAGTGTTGTGACCACCCTTATCTCGTTGATCAATCACTACAAAGCACACTTACCAAGGATCGCCCTATAACTGATATCCTTGATATTGGAGTGCGTTCATGTGGCAAGTTGCTGCTTCTTGACAGAATGCTCCAACAGATCAAGATTCAAGGTCTTAGAGTTCTTATTCTTTCGCAGGTGAGATGTCCATGGTATCATGCTTCCAATATTCTTTTACTTACAATCTGTCCATTTTGATTACCGTAAGGTCAGTCCGCTACTCCCTCCGTTCCAAAATTTGTGTCGTTTTAATTTTGCCATAAGTCAAACTCTTTAACTCTGACCAAGTTTATATACAAAAAAAATGCACCAACATCTACAACATCAAATTAGTTTCATCAAATTCACCCTGAAATGTCTTCATAGTGCATTTATTTGGCATTGTAGATGCTAATATATTTTGATATAAACTTTGTCAAAGTTAGATAAGTTAAACTTATGACAAAACTAAAACGACCTACACTTTGGAATGGAGGGAGTACTACCTAAGCCTGAAATTTTTGCAACCCCTGATTTTTAATTATTTTCCTACCTTATGGCTACCTGTGCAGTTTCTTTCATTTTTCCAAATTTTTCAAGAAGGTATCTAACTTATGCACACTTAGCATCTAAGTTTATTGTCAAATAACTGAGTGATACTGTTTAGTTATCTAACTTGCCTCAGTTACAAAATTAAGAATAACAGAAAAGATGTAGTTGATTTTTAATTCTAATTTCTAACACGCATCTGTTTTTTTGAAGTAGATGCCCACAATGATTATTTTGATCATCTGTTTTGAATAGCTCTGATTTGTTATTGTGACACTAGATTACTTATGCTTATGATGCTGCTGTATTCTCCAGTTATTGTATTAACAATGCTTTTGGTCCAATCTTATTCAACTTTATTTTTTGTGGTAGTCTGGTGGTGGATCTGGCAACCCTATGGGTGACATTTTGGATGACTTTGTTCGTCAGAGATTTGGTTACGAGTCATATGAACGTGTGGAACGTGGATTGCTACTGCAAAAGAAACAGACAGCAATGAATATGTTCAATGACAAAACTAAGGGGCGATTTATTTTTTTGATTGATAGTCGTGCATGTGGTCCAAGCATCAAGCTATCATCTGTTGATGCCATCATCATATATGGTAGTGACTGGAATCCCATGAATGACTTGAGAGCCCTTCAGAAGGTCAGCATGGAGTCACAGTCTGAACCTGTGCCTATTTTTCGTTTTTATTCGTCTTGTACAGTGGAGGAAAAAGCTCTTATTCTTGCAAAGCATGATCATATTCTGGATAGCAATATCCTGAATATAACCCCTAGCCTGAGCCATTGTCTGCTCAGTTGGGGTGCATCATTTCTCTTCAATAGACTTGAGGAGTTGCAGAACCCTAGCTACTCAAATGTCTCTGGTGATGAACTTTTCATGGATAATGTAGCTTTGGAGTTTTTATCAAAATTACTCAGCAAGGTTGAACTAAGCACTGAACCAGGCAATGCAGCCATATCACAAGCTTATCTGCGTGGATCTTTCTATTCTAGAGCTATTGTTGTAGCTGGTGAGAGTGAGGGAATTTCATCAGTTGATGGTGATCTGCCAAAGTTCTGTGCCTACTGGTTAAGTTTACTTAATGGGAGGTCTCCTCATTGGCAACATATATCTGAGCCAGCACAAAGAAGCCGTAGAAAGATACATAACGTGGAACAACAGTTGAAAAACACAGAAGAACAGTTGAAAATACCTACTGAAGAAACTGATGAAGCCAGAATAAAGCGTAGAAGAATGGGTGAAATCATGGATTCATCTCCAAAAGACCCACCTGGCAAAAACAAGGACACCGCCATATTGCCTGAAAACAATACCCCATCTAGTTCTCATCAAATATCAGTTGAAGATACATGGCAGGAATTAGGTATTACATCTGTAATTGAATTGATGTGTTAGGTGTGGATACTGCATTTTGCTAACTCAGTTCATTATGTAGAGCGAAACAATCTTCATGGCACACAAAAAGGTCTACACATTCAACTCAAGCCAGAACTTTCAAAGTTATATAAGTTGCTGCAACTGCCGGTACTGCTACACATATTTAACTCTATTGCCCCCTCCGTGACTTCATGCTTTCTCTTTTTGATTTTTTTAATCCTGTGTAAAATCATTTATTAAATTCACACAAAATATAAGATAGAATTTGGCTCTCTTAGACTTTTGATGGTTAATATTTCTCAGCTCTGAACCATGTGTGAAATGTGTATTTTCCCTAGTCATTTATCAAGTTGACTCTTGATAAATATTGCTCTTTAAAATGAGAAAAGTTGACCCATAATTTATTATATAATATATCTGGAAGTCATTAATATTTGACAGTTGCCATTAGCTAGTTTATCTTAAGCACATTGATTATATTCTCAAATGTCATCTTCAATCCATAATGTTTGCTAGTTCCTACCAGCTACTTTATTTTAAGCATATTCTTCTTTCAGCATCAGGGGTCATGGGCAGTGCTTGCCATCTCCATGTGTGTGCTGGCATGAAACTGATGTTGGTATCATCCGTGATAGTTCTTGTTTTGTTGTATGCTTCATGTCTAACTTGTCAGCATAGATCTAGAACATCTATACTTTTATTGCTCATCCATTAGTCAAGTAGTAATCCTCAGCATAAGTCACAAGGGAGAAAAATCACAGAAACATTCACCATTGCCATCTTGCTTATGACTGCCGATGCATAAGAATCATCGAGGCAATAGTGGCAATCACAGATTGATGAGGACCTAGCTTCTCAATCACCATACATTGCAGCAATGCTTGCAGCATGAATCATATAGTCCCCAGGAAAATCATTTTAGGTTAGAAGCAGGTACATGGATCCTATGCAGATCTAAACTGAACAAAATATTTGTTAAAGAAAAATCAGAAAAGAAGAGATCATTGGCAGTCCTTCCTTAAAAAAAACTCGACCTGCAGGGGGTAAGACAGCCCCCAGGCATTTTGCTAAGAAGAAGACCTCACGCAGGTCGAGAAAACCTCCGAACCCTGCCCCACCCATACACAACGGCACCGTAGCCCATGTGAGAACAACCACCATGGCCTGGGCCAGACCTTAGACATGTGCTTTGGCGTGGGACAGACGAGGGGATTTTTTTAACCACAGCCTGAGGAGTGCTATTAGAGCCAACTCAGCTAGAGGCCTGTTCGCCAGGCAGTGTTTCCTTTTCTTCCATAAAGCTCTATATTCTACCACTATGCACCTAGCTGCCACATAGAAGAGATATAGAGGGAGAGGATCGGAGTGAGGCTGGACACCTGGCTGCTGCCATGCATGCCTGACCTTTTTTTTCGAATCAAGAAGCCTGACCTTTGTGAATTGTGGCCCTCAGTTTCTAATTACATGGCCACTTTGTTTTGAAAATGTTAAAATACTTTGTAAAATTTGATCAAAATTAGTCAATTATATGCACGTTTGGTGTACAAAAGTTGCATCAATGGACTCATTCAAATTGCTTTTAAGATGATGCAGCAATTAGTGATCATGGAGTTGTTTTGCAACTTGGATCAGCAAAAAAAAGAGTTTAAACTGAAGTTATTGTTAAAGATAGTTGTGGTCTCCTCTTGCATAATAACATACAAAATGACAAATGCGGTATTTGTAGCAAGGATGCATTCAGGTAATCAGGTCATAGATCATTTTACCCAAAAAATGTCTGTCAAATTACGAAAACTGAAAGTTTACTTTATTTCATGTACTCAATTTTCGATCTAAGTTGATTGCTTTCATGGATGGATCATAACAAATTTTGCAGGAGAACGTGAAATCCTTATGTGAGGAATTTCTCGAGTATATTTTGAAGAATCACCAAATCAGCCAGGAGCCTAAGGGCATACTGCATGCATTCAATTTAGCTCTGGTTAGATAAAAAGATCTTTTTTTTTGTTTTTACTTTAATTTAGTTTGCTGCTAATTGCTTTTGTTTTTGTATTGTTCTTGCTTCAGTGCTGGCGTGCTGCTTCTCTCTCAAAGCATAAAATCAATCACACAGAATCACTCACGCTTGCTGTAAAAAACTTAAACTATGAGTGCAAAGAAGAACTTGCTGAGTTTGTCTATGCGAAGCTAAAGATCCTTAAGAGGAAGTTTGCACGTAGAGCAGGGGAAGTGAGCAAGCAAAATTCTATGGCTTCAGTGAGCAACATATCAACTTGTGAACAGGACACTTCAGTTAGACTGAGAAATGATGAGTTAATCCCTAGCCAGGTAACTTTAACTGATGATAACTTTGAGAATGGTTCACATCACGAGGCTACAGGTGACTTTTGGACCGAGGAGATGGTTTCGGGAGAGAGAGAACTGCTATCTGACCCAGTAACTCATGGAGGGGAACGTTTATCAAGGGATGAACTTCTCAGCAAAATAATGGACAAAAGAATTAAATTAGTTGACAAAGTTTTCTCTTTAAGAGGAAGGAGTATCCAGGATAAGCATTCAAACGAGGTTTCATTTTTAGACATGCATAGGCAAAAGGAAGTGGCAAAACTCAAAGGAGCTTGCAGTTTAGTTGTGGAGCATCTTCGTAGTAGTCAAAATCACACTGCTCAAGAGGACGGGGATGGGAAAATAAAGCTAATAATTGAATGGTTTACTATGCTGCTGTATGCTTTTTTGGAACACATGAAATGCCAACGTAACAGGCTTGATATGCAGCAATCAGCTTCCAGGATCAAGGAGTCTCAATTGAAAGAAGAAACCCTTCAGGCAGCAAAATGTGGCCAATTAGATCAAAATTTTGATCAACACATTCCTTTACCAGATTTTGAATTTGCTATGGAAGAATTTAGGCACTTCAGGGAAGTAGTTGGTAGCTGCCATGTTCATGCAGCTGCTCTGGCATCAGAGTCTTTGGATGATAATTCAGCAATGGAAATTACTTTGGTTCGAAGCGCAAATGCATCGGAAGTTATCGAAGAAGAAGCGCTAAATAGACCTGCTGAAGTTCTTGTTCAAGGTCCAGCACCAGAAGTTGCCGGTCCATCAGTGAACAGGATTTGCAATTATTCTGATGGCATCAACTCACAAGGAGATGCATCTCTGGCTGTTCCTTCATTGGTTAGTATTCCTTAACTGACAATTCAGTTAACTATGTATGGTCTATTTCTATTTATATGCAATGCAATATGTTGACAGTACTTACTTTTTAGTTGCTTCCAAGCGACAAATGATCAGTTTTAGCATAGAAAATTGTCATGTTCAACCTGTAAATCATAGCATATTTCCTGAACAATGTTGCTTGTATGCAAGACCATCAGAATTTCAGAAAGAAATGTGAGATCTCATGTCAGTATTTATGACCTCTGCTATTTGTTTTTCCTTTGGCAGTTACTCAGTTAAGTTAATGTCCTTTCTCCTTTGTGATATAGCACAAACTGTAAGAAATATTTGTACACTTTTTAGTAGCCTAAACTAGGGTGTGGCATCTTTTCTTACTGTTTCCATTTAGTAAAACCAATCTTAAATATGTTTACCACTCTGGTAGTTCTGTTAGTCCGCTTCCCTGGAATGTAGAGTTAGAACTGTATGTATTATTTTGCCTTTCGTATAGAACAGTCTGAATTTTTCTAATCCATGCCCTTGAATGTACCTGACTAGTGATATCCCTTCTTTTTCTTTGTATGTATTATGTTGGTTTTCATATGGTACAATCCGAGTGTTTCTTTACAATTTATAATTTACTGGTGGATATCCTGCTTTTCTTTGCATGAGGGTCAGTGCTTAGCACATTGTGTTCATTTTTGAACCAATGGTATATCACAGCTTGCTCCTGCTTGTCTTGTCGATACACATAGCATCATTGTCTAGGATCCTTATTTGTTGATATGACATAAGCTTATTATGCAGAATAACTCAATATGTACTGGTACCATTATAACAGGAACCTTCAAGTGATGACCTTAGAAGTACTGACCATGTTGAGGAGAACACAGTTGGCTCACCAGTACAGGGTGAGACAAGCGAACATTTAGGTGATGCTGCAATGGAAGTTGAAACTGGAAATAGGAACACTGCTTTGGCCGATTCACCTCACTTTGACACACCAGCTTTGACTGCTCCATCCAGGCAGGCAACATTGCCGGTTTCTCGAGAAATCGAGATGCAGAGCAATCTTGTGGACCAATGTGCACAACAGAGTTTAGTGTCATCGCAACCTTTGCAGGGAGAGCCGGAACAAGCAGATTTGTCTAGTGCAGCATCAGCTCAACCCTTGCAATCTGAGAGGCAACAATCAATCCCTCTTTCCAATAATCTGCTTGAAAGAGCACAGCTTGATCAGAGTCAACCAAATTATCAGACAGATGTGGCACCTGGTTCTGTGCAGTCTGCAGAACTCTTTCCAGTGACATCAATGATGTTTAATCACCCACCTATTGATCCTGAACCACTGAAAAATGAGTTGCACAAATTAAGATTAAACATGGACGCACTCAATAAAGTCCATGAAATGAAGGTTTCTTATTTTTGGTCCCTTTTTTGTCTTTCTTTCTTTATGCTGTTCCAGAATCACCATGTCTAACCAACTCCAATTTGGACAGAAAACCCAACTTCAGACGGAGTGTAGCCAAGAACTAGAGAAGGTAAAGAGAAAATATGATTTGTTAATTAAAGAGCATGACTCCACTCATCTTCAGCAAAAGAAGGCACTTGATGATTTTTATGAGAAAGTTCAACGCAACCAATCGCTGGCTGAGGATTTTCGGGCCAAATTCATATCACCGTCTGCAGCACAAGGTATGGAGAGCATGTACATTCATTGTCCCTTCCAAATTAATGTTTTCAACATGATTAGTGTTTGGTATGAAACATTGTGATAAGTTCTATTTCATTGCAACTTACCCTTTCTGCGAGATTTACTCCCGAAGGTGCAGGATCTTCTAAACGCAATTAAAATGCACAAATGCCAAGTTCTATGCAATGCTTGACTAGTTGCTAAACATCCTGAGTATGGATGGACTGAAAGAAGGAACAAGATGGGATCAAAGATTTATTAATATAAACTATTTCTTAGAACTTTGTCATTACTCATTAACAACTATTTATTTCTTTCATTCAGGTGCAGCAAAAGCCCATACCCCTCCAGTTCGTCACACACCTCAGGCTACGCCACAAGTGATGAGGCCTCCAGTGTTGGACCCCTCAGCATCATCAATTGCCCTGTCATCAGCTTGTCGACCACCAGTGCCGAGGCCTAGGGTCCAAGCACCACAGGTGGACCAACCATCATCGTCACTGTCACAGTTGTCCCGTCCGTCATTGCCGTCTTTGCAAGTGGTCCAACCTCCCAACTTGGAACAAGGCAATCTTTTCAGAGCAACGTCAACGACTCTTAGTCACATGCCACCTCCACGTGGGAGCTATGGAGTTCAGAGTGAATTGGCTCCTCGCTCACCTGCTCCTCATCTCCAGTTCAGGTCGCCACGGGCACATTCGATGCCACCTGGAAATCAGCAGCGACTGCCAGCAACTAGGGTGGAGGCAATGTCCTCAAGGACACAACCAGTGCTGGCAGCAAGCTCATGCCCATCAGATATACATGCAGGACAGCTGGCAGCCTCAGCCATGTCAAGTTTACACTCTGTCCTCCCTTCAACCTCATTGCCCTCAAGCTTGCGTCCTAGTCACCTGGCACAACGTGTGCCACCAACTCCGAACCCAACTTTACAAGCGGCGGCACCGTCAGGCTCGAATACAACAATGCCTTCCATCCCTACAGGCATGCATCCACCAGATTCTGGGTCACTATCGCTGGATGCATGGCTTACAGCTAATCTTGGGTTGAGTGATGATGCGTCTACAGCTCCTACTAAGAATACAGCCAGTCTTGGGTTGAGCAGTGATGCACCTAGGGCAGCTCCTGCTACAAATACGGCCAGTCTTGGGTTGAGCAGTGATGTGCCTAGGGGGATGGCTCCTGCTACAAATAAAGCCAGTCTTGGGTTGAGCAGTGATGTACCTAGGGGGATGGCTCCTGCTACAAATACAGCCAGTCTTAGGTTGAGCAGTGATTCACCTAGGGCGACGGTTCCTGCTACAAGTACAGCCAGTCTTAGGTTGAGCAGTGATTCGCCTGGGGCGATGGCTCCTGCTACAAATTGTCCTGAGATACATGTGGTATGCTTGTCTGATGATGAATGAGACTAGCAGGTGTACAATGCTGACAGTTAGAGATGACTGCTTGAAAAGAGTAGGGTGACCGAAGGCCTTTTTTTAAGGCTCCCTTGAGCCGTCGTTCGGGCAAGGTAGGAATGTTGTTTGTGCTGTGAATGGCTGGTAACAGCAATGCCAGTTTTATTTAGATTCACTGTAAATTGGTATCATGACAAATGTCAGCCAACGGTTGCTGTAAATCGCTAACCTCCGGGGAACATATGTGGAGATTAACCTCTGAGATAGACTTGGGTTTCAAGCGCTATGAGATTGCTGTACATGTTTGTCATTGATTAGGGATGCATATCCATAACTCGCTGAGGTGTTGGTTGCATGCTGGAATGTTTGTTTGTGCATAATGAAGAGAGCAGAGAATCGTAAAAAATCGTTCTAGTAGCATATGCAACAGAGAAATTTAGGCCAAGGCGGTCACTTCAGCTTTATATTGCATTTCCTTTTTTAATGAAATACTCGCACTTCTTCTATGTTTATTTTATATCTATACTCTAGCTAGCTAGCTAGCTACGTATCTATATCTATACCTATTCTATATTTGTACCTTCATGTCCCGTATGTCCTAGTAGTTAAAAATGATTCATGTCCAACGATGGTATGGAATCTGGGGCGTGTTCGGCTGGTGTCCGCACCGCAACAGCGGTGTTGCAAGAAAGCGGCGTTCAATTCTGCCGCCGGCCTGCCAAAAAATGAACTACGGATAGTTGGTTCCGCCGCGGCACGCTAAATAGTGGAGGCGAACCAAACGCGTGCCAAAACTGCGGCATGGTGCGAATGTCAACCAAACGCGCCCCTAATTCCAAGACGTATTTGGTCTCGTTGTAATTCACGTGCATGTTTGTTAGTCTATACCGCTAATATTAAAGATTGAAGTGATTCTCCCGTATGTCCTTGTTTATTTTTCAAAATGCCTTTATGTCCCGTATGTAATCCGGACTCACGGTTCGTGTCCTGTTTGTGATCTGGAATCACGGTTTGTGTCCGCATAGGTTAGATCAACTCGCTCCCAGTGATGGTACAGAAGATTTTAAGATGTAATGGGTTTCGTTAACATGTAAATATACTAATATAGAATATTAAAAGTAGAATGGATTCTCCCGTCCATTTTTTTTTACTTCTCACAATATCATCACATCCTTCATGTCTCGTATATGATCTGGACCCACTACAATGCTCATACGGATTAGATTGCATCAAGAAATAGTATAGAATCCAATTCTAAGACGCGTCAAACGACGATATGTCCAATTCTAAGATGCATCAAACGATGGTATTTAGTTTGATCTCAAGACGTTGAATAAATCACGATCGTTGAATAAATCTCTGAGCCATAAATCGTCCAAGTTAACCATGCAAGTGAGTAGTGACAATTAATGTGGTAGCACATACGATACGGGTTGTATACAAGTTCATGCAACACGTAATAACAGGAAAAAGGAAGGACGGATCCATGCACGACGGAATCGTCGGGATCCAGCTAGGTAGCCACCCGATGACTCGCGCCACCTGCTTAACCGCCATGCCCGTCACCATCACCATCACTTGCTCCCTCCACCACCGGTACGGTCCACCGCCGCCTCCCTCGTCTCATCTCGTCCTCGTCTCGTCCGCGCCGCGCATGGCCCTGCCACTCTACGGCTGCAGGTCCTGCGCTGTGCATGACGCCATCGTCTTCTGCCTCTGCTGCGTCGCCAGGCTGTGCCTGCACTGCGACGCCGCCGTGCACACGGTCACCGCCGCGGCGGCGCTCCACGCGCGCGCCCCGCTCTGCGACGCCTGCGGCGACGCGCCAGCCGTGCTGCGCTGCGACGGCACCGTGACGCTCTGCGCCGTGTGCGCCGGCCGCGGCGCTCCCGGCTTCACCCGCACCGGCGTCGCCACGTACACCGGCTGCCCCGGCCCCGCCGAGATGGCGCGCCTCATCTCCGTGGACCCGCCGCAGCCGCAGCAGGACTTCGAGGCGTGGCTCGCCGACAAGCTGCCACGTCTCCTGGAGGACGACGAGCAGGATCATCAGCTCCCGCCAGATTGGGATGTCGCCATGGAAACCGCCAGGCTAGAGAAGATGCTGGCAGACAGCTGCTACACTCAGCCTGAGGTAGTGTACGTACGTTATTGTATTATATAAGTCAACTGATCGAACGCATTGTGAATTGATGAGGCACTGACTGACTGACTGATGAATGGGTTGTCCAAAATAAATAAAATGATTCGCAGTCATCATCCTCTTATGGCAATGGCAACCAGCTCTTATCCTCGTCGCCGGCGGGCTACTGTCAGCAGCAGCATCAAGCCACAGTGTCTGCTGTGCAGCCGTCTTGGCAGAGCAACAATGACGCCGGCTTCCCTTTCTGTGGCGGGGTGTTTTCGGAGAGGGCAGATTTCATGCAGGCTGCCCAGCCACGGCAGATGACGACGGGCGCATCAGACCATGACAAGATGCTGCTGCAGGATGCAAGCGCCATGGCCAAGAAGCGAGAGGAGAGGGAGAGGGCCAAACAAAGATATAACGAGAAGAAAAAGAACAGAAGGTAGCTAGGCTCTGAACAACTTCTGAATTATATCTCATCGATCGTTCATCTGATTCTTGTACGTAAATGCGTGCGTTGCAGGTTCTGCAAGCAAATCATGTATGCTTCTCGCAAGGCCAGAGCAGACACAAGAAAGCGGGTCAAAGGCCGCTTTGCAAAGGCTCAGCATGATGATGATCCCCAGATTCATGACGGCCCATCAGCATCGACAGCTACAGTGAAGAGGGAGACCAGCTCTCCTTAATGGAACACGTGTCACAATGACACGCTCGCGAAAAAAGAGGGAGACAAGCAGCTGAAATGGTGGATAAAAAGCAAATTCTCGTCGGTGAAATTCACCCATTTCAGTGAGGTCCGAACCAACGTCGTACCAGTTAAAAGTATCAGTTAAATTCGAGTTTTTAGTCAAGTCTAGAGTTCAAACATGCCTACAAAGTTCTTATTTCAATATAGAATTGCAAACCTACCAAGCTGTAACCTGTACGTTTCATCTTCATGCTTCTTGATCAAATTTGGTCAAAATTCAGTTAAATATTAGCTAAATCTGAACATTTTCACTGCTCAAAACACGAGTGAATCCTGGTCCGAAATTAACGAAATTTATGAGATTCACACAATTCGATCAGGTCCGAATTTTTTGTCATTTGAATCCAAGAACCTTGCAATTACATGAATGTATGTTTTCTTGTTCGTCAGATACAATACAATAATAGGCCTTCTATTTTTCTTTCTTTTTCCTTTTTATTTTCTTATTGAGAACATACGGCCCCCATAGGAAAGTTACTGTCAACGGCACGGCATCATCCTTTCTGGAATCTGGATTTTTTGTTCCGTCGTATAATAAAGCAATAGCCTTGTCTAAATGATATTCTGCACTCATAAAAAAAATGATATTTTGCAAGTTTGAGTCCACCATTATTTGTTTTTTTTTTACGCAATCTATCAATGTTGAAAATCTGAGCAGAAACTCGTTATGGATATTCCATAATCTTTAGTTTAGTTTGCTAAAGTCAAGAGTTAAAGTTTAGACTACTTTACCTCACTTGTGTGGTCCAATGAACTAATGGTCTTTTTTTTTATAGATTGGCTAAATTTTGAAAAACACTTTAGACCACTTATTTGGAGCCTCAAAAGTTAAAGTGGCCTAAAGTTTAGGGGATACTCTTTAAACCATCGGATCCAAACATCAAGATACGTGTAGGCCTGCAAAAAGATCTGCTAATAACAAGCTCAACATTTTTTGCTAATATATATTGGGTTCAACTTTCAACACTAAACTAAAACCAGACATTGACTCCTTATATACAGGCGAACACTACGGCATGCACTAATGTGTAGGTGCCCAGGCGGTCTCTATGAGCAACCGTTGACTGAGCATGCATTCAATGCTTGAGTTTTCCTATGCGTCAGATGCATGCTTCATGGATTTTCTTTTCCAAGAGTGCGCGCGCGCTTTGGTTGAGTCAATTTCTTCCATTCGTAGAAACCTAACTATGCAATGCAAGCCTTATTTGCTACTGCTATAGACGATTATAAATAAGTGACACTCTTATTTTGGATGATCACTAGATCTATCCGTTCTGCTGACCTGCTCGCGGTGAAGAAAGTCCTTGATATAGCCTTTGACGGCTAGAACCTCGGAAGCGGTAGCACTAGGGTAAAGGCCGGAGGGGCGGCGCTTCTGTTGTAGTAGTGGGGAAGAAAAGAACATGTGTGGTAGGGAGGTGGATCGGGACACAGAAAAAAAAAACGAAACAATAAGGACATATGTGTGGTAGCTAGGGAGGTGGATCGGTTCACTCCACGTCTCCCCCCATCTCTTGCCCTGACTGATCCCCTATGACTCCCTTTCCTTTCTTCATCCATCCATCGTGGTTTCTACCTCCGCCTTTGCGTATTTGCTGCCCTATAGCCAACAGTCACCTGAGGCAGTCGATGGAAGAAGCGCCGGGGAGAGGGCACTCCGAAGGTGACTACATACGACTGTTACAGAATGTACGACACCTCCATAAATCCCCACAATGCGGTGTTGGAATTTTTAGGTAACCACGTTCTCTTCTTATCTTTAAAATTTTGATCAAATTTTAAATCTTTCAGTGAAAATCGTAAGGACTAGGGGCCCTTGGTCCCCTCTCTCACCCCCCATCTCCCGCCACGGGTAAACTAGCTAGATTCGTACATTACCGAATTGTAAGGGCATGTACAACTTACGGACGAGGATCCGTTTCTAAGCACCTCGAATCTATCGTACAGACAGGTATAAAGACAGGTCATACAACCCATAGACGGGGTTCTCTCTCTAAGCTGTTTAATGCTTTGCATGTAGCTAGGATCAACTATAAATAAATTTTTGTATACTATTGTGTGGTTATTTCATAGAAAATATATCAAGAATAAATAAGAACAACATGATTAGAATATATTTTTTAGAAACCATCGATATAATAATTATGTTATATTTAGTTGCAACGCCTTTTGTCTAATTTCCTTTGTTTACATAGCATTGCCATATGTGCTCGATTAGATCTTTCTTGAGTTTCCTATGTGTTGGCCGAGCGCTGATAGCGGAATTTCCAGTTCATCGCGTTTGGAGGGCGTAAATATTCTCTGCCAAAACATCCAATGACTCTTTCAACAAATTTTCCCAAGATGATCATAGAGGGAGTGAGTTCACAAATTGTAGGCGGTGTTTTATGAGAACAAATAGCATAACACATAAGCTAGATAGATAAGCTAAGCACCCCAAACAGCTAAATGCTCACTAGAACCATATTTGGTTCAATCAGACCATACATTGCAGTAGGTGCCAAACAGTGCATTTGGTTCAATCAGACCATATATTGCAGTAGATGCAAAACAACCAATATTTGGTTCATTCAAGAGCTCACAGTTTGATCATTGTTTCATGTTTCATTCAGCTTGTCTGCAGACAGTTAATTAAAATTACTTGTTTCATCTAGCCAAGTCCTTGTTCTTCATAGCCAGCTTGTAGTGTATACTGAAATCGATGTCTCAGTAGTTGGATTGATCTGCTAACCAGTCCTCGGTCTGTATGCTCCTGTCAGCCAAATTTCCTTCTAAATTCCATAACCCATATTCTCCATTCTGTAGGCACCAAATTTTTATGTAAGACTATGAAACTGAGGACAAATTCTTCGAACAGAGATTCTTTGAATAATCCATTGCCTCTCTGTTCCTTATATTGACATATTACCTAATCTGCTCCTCCATGCACAATTCAAAGCTAGGAAAATAACAAGCATAGATGCATGAACAGAGGGGAGGAGCAGCTCGCCATGACCTGGTGGCGGCTGATACCCTGAATAGCAGGCTTGCCTTTGGATTGTGGATTAGTAGCTACCTCTGGATTGCAGGCTAGCCTTGAATCTATACAGGAACAGGAGCATTTGAACTAGTGGACGTGGGGGCTGGTGGAACGCAGCTGGAGACCCTAGGCCGCCACCACCTGACGGCGCCGGCGGGGGCAGCCTCCCGTCAGAGGACTGTGTGGACGAAGACGAGCACCACAACCGTCTCCCCCTCCGACTCCGATTTCCACGCGCCCCCCTCGATCCGCCACTTCTTGCCCCTATCCATCGTCTCCGCCTCCACCAGCGCCACTTGACACCGCTCCCGCACGGCCACCACGGCAACAAGGCCGTCGAGCATGGGCGCAGCCTCACCTCGCGCCATGCACGACGGCCACCCGCGCGGGTGGGGGATTCTCCCATGAGCACGGCCTGATCAGCGCGTCGTCGCTCGGAAGCGACGATGCTGTACAATGCGTCCTCGTCTGGCGACTCAGTCTGGGAGCACGAGCCGGCGTCTCCGCCTCGCGAGACGACGGACTCGCCCATCTTCTCGGTCCCGAGGGTGTTTTCTGCAAAAAAATAAGACATAGAGACGGGTTGAATCGCCCCGCTGTACGTGCCCTAAGCATGCATTGTACTGAGGTCACAGCTTCAGATTACCAGGTATTATTTTTTGCTATATGTCATGGACTTTTTTTGTGGTACTATCAGTAAGAGCATTTGTCGGTGTTTCGAATAAACACCAACAAGTAAATTTCTAATATTGCACGTCTAGCTTGGATGATATGCTAAAAGGACACGAAGTTTATACTGGTTCGGGCGAATGTCCCTACGTCTAGTTCGTTGTTGTTGCTCGTGTTATTAGCACTGAAAAATTTGTAGTAGGGGTTAATAACGGTCGAAAGAGGGATATGTCCCAAGTCTCTGGTGGAAAGGACGGATGGGTGCCGAGAACTCGATCGCTGCTCAGCTATGTGTTCGAGGTTCGATGTTAGTGGTTTTGATCTGATGTGGTGCGATCCCCTTAATATGATGCCCTGCTTTCCCTTTTATAGGCCAAGGAAAAGCACGGGTTACAATGGGAGAAAAGAGGAGAACGAGAGGGAGAGGAAGTCCTTCAGGGTCGTCAGGCCTTTCTTTTCCTCTGTGCGGGCCCCACTGACATGGCAGGTGGTGACGGGGACAGCTCCACGCCGGGCGCCTGTCCGCCGATGATGCCATGCCCTAGCGTTGTCAGCGGGTCGTAACGTCCCACTCTGCCTCGGCGGGCGGCGCGGTGAACTAGCTTGCTGATCAGCGGTCGTACAGGGAGTAGGCAGCATAGTGACCACACGTCCGTCACTGTGGGTGATGTGAGTTCCCTGGAATGACATGTCACGGGGACGGGTCATGTTGAGACGTGACCGCTCCCTGCACGATGCCAGAAGTTTGACCTTGGGTTGTACTTTCTGACCCATAGTGGTTGGCGGTGGTGTGAGCTTTCGTTAGGAGCCATGCCCGAGGGATCGGACGAGGCGGAGCCAGCCCTCAGATATCGGGTGAGGCGGAGCCTGCCCTCGGGGGTTGGGTGAGGCAGAGCCCGTCCCTAGAGGTCGGACGAGGTGAATCGCACGACCTTGGGGTTGAGCGAGGCAAAGCCCACCCTTAGAGGTCGGGCGAGGCGGAGCCCACGGCCTCAGTGTCGGACGAGGCAGAGCCCACCCCTAGAGGTCAAGCGAGGCAGATCGCACAACCTTGGGGTCGGGCGAGGCGGAGCCCGCCCTTAGAGGTCAGGCGAGGTAGAGCCCACGGCCTCGGTGTCAAACAAGGTGGAGCCCGCCTCCAGAGGTCGGGCGAGGCGGATCACATGACCTTGAGGTTGGGCGAGGCGGAGCACATGGCCAGAGGTCGGGCGAGGCAGAGTTCACGGCCTCAGTGTCGGTTGGAGCTGTAG